CGAGGGCTGAGCTGCGAGCCCCTCGCCGCTTCCCTCCGAAGCGGCAGCGGCAGTCGCAGAGCGTTCTGTGCGCATGCGCACAGAACGCTCTGGCACTTTCAGGGGGATTTAAGCATCCCCCCGAATTTTTCCCCCACATTTGACATTTTTGTGCACACGTGGGGACTGGCCCACGTGTGCACAAACCTCCCCCTCCCCCCCAAGTGCCCCCGGAGTGCGGATTTAGCGATCCGCACTCACGGGGGCAACTTGGCTATTAGTATAAGGATGAGACAGGAGAGAACTAATTGGCCAAACACATGGAGAAAAAGCCAAGTTGCAAACATGTTACATTTTTATTCTTTCTTTTCTCCAAGAAACTTGGGGCTCTTTGTTATCCCCCCCCTTCTATTTTTCCCTATAGCTAACCTGTGACTTAATTTAGGCTGAGAGAGAGGGACTGACTCAAGGTCACCCAGTGAGAATCACTGCAGAGCAGGGATTTGAACCAGGCTCCTAGTCCAACATTTTAACCATTACACCATATTGGCTCTCAGGCCCCACTACAGCTCCATCCCTAGGGTATTTATAATGGTGTAGTCTAGTATGAATAGTGCTTTTCCCTCTGGTAAATAGTCAGTCTCCATTTGTATCAACATCGGTGTCTTTTGAAAATGGTAGCCAAACGTCTTCTTGGCCATTAATTAGTGCACACCTCCCTATTCTGCTCTGCCCATACTGGCTTAATTTTTTAAAAAATTACTTCGGTTTGATGTAATAGCAAAGGTTCACATTCATTTTAGAGTATGTCATTAGCTTCTGTATTTAGGAACTTCTAGAATAATTTGAGCAAGATTGCTTCTCCATCTACCAATGGAATGGGGAACTTAAGTCCAGATCTGAATGGTTTAGGGACTAGAGATGTAACTGGAGAGTTGATATGAATTGTGTTGGCTTCCCCTCTGCTGCAACTAATTAGGTGTCCACCTAAAGAAACCAACTGTCTGCTTTCCTGCTGTTTACCATCTTCTGTTTTGTTGCTGTTACAGGTATCGGATAATGACTCAGTGCTGGCAACACCAGCCTGAAGATAGGCCAAACTTTGCTATAGTATTGGAGAGGATTGAATACTGCACCCAGGTATCCATTACTATTTGGTTCTGATATCTATTGTTGTCCATTGTGAGCAATGCTCAAAGGGGAACATGAGGAAGAAGTAAACTCTCAGATAAACCTTCCTCAGGACAGCATAATAGTAGTGCCTTTATCTTCAGTCCAAGGCATCTCAAAGTTTTAGCAAGATGCAAGGAGGTGCTGTAGGAAGAGCTCCTGCCTCAGACTTCTTCCCTTGACCACTCTAAAAGTAGCTGCAGTTGTAGTGAAACAAGGCTAGACCAGGTAAGTTTGGTAGTGGTCAGTGATCACAGGTTATGAAGCCTGTCAATATGACGAGCCTTTAGCCCTGACCTGGATAGCCCAGGCAAGCCTGATCTTGTCAGATTTCGGAAGCTAAGCAGGGTCGACCCTGCCAAGTACTTGAATGAGAGACCTCCAAGGAATATCAGGGCTGGGACGCAGAGAGAGACAATAGTAAACCACCTCTCTGAAATGTCCAAGCCCCACTTGGGATCGCCGGAAGTAAACCATGACTTCCAGGCACACACACAGAATCTCTCCTTGAACATTCCAACATGCTCCAAAATCAGTTGGCTGAATGATCTGTCATTCAGAGGGTCTCTCTATCCACTGGCTGCATTGCCTGCATCCTGCCTCCAACATTCTAAACAGTTTGTTGTTCCTCTCCCCCCCATAGCCAGTCAGAACACAGAGGTCATTTGCATATCTGGCCTGATTGGCCTTTGCCTCTAACATTCTAAATAGTCTGCTGTTGCTGTTGGGAGTCCTGAGGTAAAATACATATCCTAATCTCCCTGTGGGGCCTGGAGATCTCCCCAGCCACAGCACATCATTTGCCCTACGGAAAATTTCCCAGCTCTTACAACTGATGTCCAGATGACCAAGATCAGTTCTCCTGGAGACAATGGCTGCTTTGGCCAGTGGACCCTATGGCATTATACCCTGCTGAGGTCCCTCCCCACCCCAAACCCTGCCTTCCCCAGGCTCTACCCCTCAAATCTACAGGTATTTCCCAACCCAGAGTTGGCAACTGTGTAACTGGCTATGGAACCACTTTCCAGACCCTTGGAACCCAGAAGACATGGCATAAGAGGAGGTGCTTTTCTACTTTAGCTGCCACTGCATAGACCCAAATTAACATAAGCCAACCTCCAGGCAGCACCTGGAGATCTCCAACTATTACAACTGATGTCCAGATGACCAAGATCAGTTCTCCTGGAGACAATGGCTGCCAGGGGACTCTATAGCATTATACCCTGCTGAGGTCCCTCCCCCACCCCAAACCCTGCCCTCCCCAGGCTCTACCCCTCAAATCTACAGGTATATCCCAACCCAGAGTTGGCAGCCCTGTAACTGGCTATGGAACTGTTTTCCAGACTCTTGGAACCCAGAAGACATGGCATAAGAGGAGGTGGTTTTCTACCTTAGCTGCAACTAGGTAAAGGTAAAGTTTTCCCTTGCTCGAAAGCCAGTCGAATACAACTCTAGGGATGCGGTGCTCATCTCCGTTTCAAAGCCGAAGAGCCAGCACTGTCCAAAGACATTTCCGTGGTCATGTGGCCGGCATGACTAGACACCGAGGTACACGGAATGCTGTTACCTTCCCACTGAAATGGTCCCTATTTATCTATTTGCAATTTCTTGCTTTCGAACTGCTAGGTTGGCAGGAGCTGGGATCAGAGATGGGTGCTCACTCCGTCATGTGGCAAATTAACATAAGTCAGGGGTGGAGGGAACCATACCTGTTACCATGAGGCTGTCCTCCCATACTACCCACTTGGGGCAGCAAAATGGCTGGAGACAGCCCTGCCTTATAGCTAAGCAGAAGGAAAGAAACATGGCTTGCCTCCCTCTATTTTCACCTTCCCTCTGCCGCCCCACCAGCCACAGCCGGGACACTCACCTGGAGCTTCCTTCTAGAGACCGTTGTATTTCTTCCCACAAAGTGCCTTACTCCTAGTACTCATATATATATGAGATGAGCCTTTAGACCTCGGCAAGGGTCTGAAATATGGCAGAGGTTGTTGGAGACAGAGTCTGTGTTGGACACATGGGAAGGGAAGCAAAGTGCGAAGTGTGAGGTCCCCTGAGACACCCAAGATGCCCTCATTCACCTCTTTCATGCTGCAATAACTCCTTTTCCAGTCTCAAATTGTCAAGGTGCACTTGAGAGGCAGAGGAGGTCCAAAGGGACAGCAGCAGTGGCTGCAGTGGCTCAGGAGATACAATGGCTTCCCAGCAGTGGCTCTCCCGCCATGCATGTGCAAAAGAGCCTGTTCCCCCACACTGCAGCTTGCCTTTTCTCAGACACGGTGAGGCTCCATGGGTACAGGCGTCAGGCTTGAACTCCACCACAGAAAGTAGAACGTTGGACTCCTGTGAAGGGGAGGGAGAGATTTGACCCAGTTCTCCACATTCCCTTATTCTCACTCATATTTTTTCCACATGAGAACAGTTCCCTTTGCTGTCGTCATTAGTGAAATATCTCCCTAGCAGCCTAGAAAGTGATCTCAGATTTCCTCCTATATCCTTTTTATCCATCCTTCTTTCTCAGTGCAACCCAGTTCTCACAGGTCTGTAATTCATTGGTGCAAAAGCCTTCCTGCTGCTCAGCAAACCCACAACTCGGTAGGATAGTCTATGTTATAACCATCTATTCCAGAAGCAGATGCTCACAAAACATGTGGAAATTAATAACATGTCCCTGTTACAAAAAGAGGCGGCTGCAGACTGAACCTAAGATAAACCAGAAGTGATGCATGGTGAGAGAACCTCTATCTGAGTTTTTTACAACCATTCTGGTTCCTACATACAAGCATAAGTTCTTAGGACTGGCAAGAACCCTCTCATGTCTTCTCCTCAGCATGTCTAGTGAAGTCACCTGACCTGAGGTCTGAACTGGAAGTGATCAACCAGGAAAGAGTTGTGTTGGATCGCACAGTGAAAGTGCAGGTCATTGTTCAGTAGCTGCAAAGAAGGGAAATCCTGTGCTTTAGGAAGGGGGTTGAAAATAAAATGGCCAGAATTCACAAAGCACTTTGAGGCTTTTCATTTGTAGAAGAAAAAAGTGACTGGGAGGGACATGATAGGAGCTTATAAAATTATGCATGGGATGGAGAAAGTGGAAAGAGAGAACTTCCATTGTCTCCAGTACTAGAATTTGGGCGGAAACCAATGAAGCTGATGGACAGTAGATGCAGAGCAGACAAAAGGAAGACCTTCTTTCAACGTGTAGCCAATTTGTGGCATTCACTACCACAGGATGGAGTGATGCTCACTCACTTAGATGGCTTTTAAAAAGGATTAGACAAATCCATGGAGGATAAGTCCATCAGTAGCGGTTAGCCATTGATCCCTAAAGGGAACCTCCATGTTCAGAGGAAGTATACTTCTGAGTACCAGTTGCTCAGTGGCAATAACACGGAGAGGCTTTGTTTCTGTTATGGGCCTTTTGGGACGTCTGGGTGGCCAACTGCAGGAAAAAGGATGCCAAAGTAAATTGTTCTGATCTAGCAGGACTCGTGTTGAGTTCCTGATCCTATCTCATCAAATCTATGCAACACTTAATCATGACCCCTGAAGAAAAGATGTAATTCAAAAGTACATTTGCTATTAACCAAAGACACATGATTTATTTATTTAGAATGTTTCTGTGTCACCTTTTCAAAGTCCTGCTGGAGGTGGCTTACAATTAAAACATCATAACAATGTTAAAAAGCCATTAAAACAACCCACTGGACATGAAAAGTTTAAATTTACTCATAGAACAGTAACAGACTATTAAAAGGTTGGTAAGATTTTAAAAAATCCTAATTCCAAGCCTTGAGTTAAAAGGTGTATTTTGGCCTGTGCCTAAAAGAAAGTAAAGTAGGCACCAAGCAAATTCTTAAGTTAAAAATTTAGCATTCAGGTTTCTATGTCAAGCAACAAAGCCCATGTTTGAGAGTTTTATTGTTCTTTCTTGTAGGATCCGGATGTAATCAACACTGTTTTACCTGTGGAATATGGTCCATGCATTGAAGAAGAAGAAAAGGTCCCAGTGCGCCCTGAAGACCCTGAAGCAATTCCTCCTCTGCTCGTCTTGCCACAGCAAGACAAAAAGATTGCTGAACAGCTCTTGCCTTCCCCACCCTCTTTGGCCATAGCCATTCCTGCAGCAAAACCACAAGTGAAAGCAGTCAGGGCAGAGCCATCCATCCATGCTAATACACAAGCGGCCCTGGAAGGGGGACATGTCAACATGGCATACACTCAGTCCAATCCCTCAACGGAGCTACACAAAGGGCGGGGATCCAGAAACAAGCCCACCAATCTCTGGAACCCAACATATGGCTCCTGGTTTTCAGAGAAGCCAGTTGTCAAAAACAATTCACAGGCAGAAAAAGAGGCAACTGAGAGGGAAGGTTCGGGTCATGAAGGGAACTGTACTTTGGGACCCAGCATTGTGACTGGAAGGCTGCCAAGCTCCTCCCTTCTTCTCGAACCATCTTCGCTGACAGCCACTGTTAAGGAAGTGCCTCTGTTCAGGCTCCGCCATTTCCCCTGCGGAAATGTTAACTACGGATACCAACAACAGGGCTTGCCCTTGGAAATCTCGGCCCCACCTTGTGCCAGCAGTTATGAGGACCCTCTCCTTCGGAACAAGATCCATGTAACTCACCAGGGGCCTTGAAGGCCCCCTGCCCTCTGGACTCATGAGCCTTGGAGCAAACTTCAGTGTCACTAGTCCACAAGAACAAAACAAGGTTCCCTTCCATGATGTGCCAATTTGCTCTGAAGTGCCACCCTTTGAAGCCAGGTTTTCAAATACACCAAGAGGCTTCAGTTAGTCAGAGCTCCTTCCTACACAGAACAAACTAGAACTACATTCAGTATTCTCAGCGAGGCCCAGCTCGCAATCGCATAAAGCCATTCTGCATGGTTGTTCACTATACCCTTCCCTGTGTGTGGCTTTCTCTTGGTTGTTTATACACCATTTCAAGATTCACTGTCCAACGTTTTTTTATGCTTTGGGATTCCCTATACTGCCCAATGCAATATTTGGGGATTCTTCCTGAGGCCAGAGATTTACAGAGGGGCAGAGAAATAAGCTGGATTCATGCCAAAAAACAAATGGGATAACGCAGACTCCCAGTGCACACATCAGCCAGACAGCACTGCCGTTACAGGATGGCCCTTCCTCAAGTATACAAAGCTCTTGGTGCTCTTGGCAAGGCAGCATAACCATATCAGCCTCACTGGTTTAGTCCCTAAGACGAAAATTGCAGTATGTTAAGGAATGTGGTCAATGTAATGGTGACATTGTATGGTTTATGTTCGGAGAGACTCCCTCTCCTGCTTTATTGTTTCTTTCAAGGGGAAGTGGTGGTGCCAAGCGCAAGGAACAATCAAGCCATTAAAACTGGTACTTATTGTTCGGTGGGTATTTGTGATGCCAGATTTTTGATGATGAAGACAGAAAGTTCTGCGGTTATAAACAGATTAGTAATATGGAGGACAGAGTTTGAACATACACAAAAGCTGTCATATGATCGCATTGGTGTGTGCCCACATTCCTCAGTGTGTTGGTCTACTGTCGTTTGTTTATTTTCATCAGTGTTCATGGCACTTTAGGGGTTGGTGTAAAGGCTTCGTGAAAGTGATGGATTTTGAGAAGAGTGATTATAGAGAATCTGCACTGGCCAATTCCCGCACTTGCTTGGTTCATCCAGACTGAATAATCAGGAGTGTAGCCATTGCTTGGCCAGCCCACATCATAGAAGTCTTGACACATGCTGAATTGTGACCTGATAATGGTATGGTAGCTGAGTTTGAGAGTATGGCAATCTAGTCATTAATGATTGCTGAAGCCATTTGCCAAATGAAAAAAAACCCATGCTGAAGCAGATTCTGTCATGCAAACGTAGCTATGAGAAACAAATTTAGAATGGGGAGTAATGCTTACTATATGTTCGTGGAATCATGACTTAGGATCTCCCACCACTACTGCAGGGCTGCAAAGATGCTGTTGTAGGCTGCTGGCCATGAAGGTACTGAACAACCAAAGTAATCTTTAACACTGTTTCTCTTTTGGCACTCAGAATAATGTTGATGACCCACTGGGGACATCTGCTGCATAAGCTTCATTGAAATAAATGGGAACTGTATATGCTCTTACTAACCTGGCTTTCTCATGCATTTCAGTAACAATACTCTCTCTCCATTAGGATTCCTGCCCCTGTCCCCAAACCATATAAATAAACGCAGCTACTATTACATGCCCAGATGCACTGCAAAAGCCCATTGATTTCATTGGGATTTCATGTGCAGAAGCATGTGATCTTCTTGAATGATGGATTAATTTTCTGTGGATGCGTGTCACAGAAGCAAATGAATGGAGAATGAAATAGCTCAGAACCAGAGTCCTTCAAAGTGATTTACAGTTGGACAATCTGCTCACCCAGTCCTTTGCACAATAATGGGCCAGGAGACTCCTGGATGCTGCTCTGAGCTCCATGGAAGAGGGCCAGGAGAAAAATGAGCTCAGTGGCCCAAATAACGCTTCCTTTCCCCATCATGGAGCAACCCTTGGTGGGGACTTTGTTGTGAGCACCTTTTCCTCTATTAGCTGTTCGATAGCTGTGCATCAGAGCTTCTAATTGCCTATAGATTTTAGATCCGACAAGCTGCATATGCTGATTCCATAAATCTGTGCTTGTCGTTTACTCTTGCTCCCAGTAGGGGGCATGCAGTGCCTGCATGAATTTCCTTGGTGGTAATTAAAAGGGAGTGCTCAGGATTCTGTACAAATGCACAAGTTTTTTTCCCACGGGAGCGTAAAGGGGGATTCATCTGCTGTAAAGGGTTATTTCCCAATGTGCACTCTCCTTACAAGCCATTACAGCATGGCTTTTAAACAACCGTGAACTGCAGGAACCTCACTCTGTTTCACGGCTAGAGGGTTCGCTTCTTTGGTACAGGCAACTGTTTGTTTTGTGTTCCTCAGTGGGCTTTCTTAAAATAGCCCATTTCTATTATAAAGATAGAGAAATGTGAATTGCAGTCTTCAAAGAAACAAGGTCTGATTTTATTCCCTGGGGCTTTTTTGTGCAGGATGCATCTCTTCCCCCCCCCCTCCCCAGCATACATAAGATGCTAAATTTAATTGCAGCAGGGCTATTCATACTCTTAAGTCCTGTTGCACAACTAGCAGAGACAAGCAGCGAAGACTGTGAGTCAGTTTGCTAGCTTCAGTGCGGTACCATGATGCTACGTCACCGGCCCTCCTTGCTCTCAAAGGGTTTGCTAAGGCTAGGCACAATTATTAATGCAGCCTGCAGCAGCACATGTGGTGGGCATTTAGAGGGATGGGACCTCTCCATGGAGGAAGACATCCAAGCAGTAGCTTTTCCTTCAAGTTAAAGGCAGATGCTGCTGAAGGAACACAGCACAAGTTCTGCCTTGTAGATTTAGTAGCCCTGGTGAAAATAACGCTACACCGAAAAGAAAGGGTGGGGCTGAATTTGTCAGGGAAGGACAGAGAAAACGTTAGCTGTCCCTCCTTGCTTTTCAAAAGCCTTAGTCCTGTCATTCCAACCTGCAGCTTGTCCCTATTATTTACAGCACAATGTGGATTCCATTAGGAGAGACAAGACCGCCTCAGTATAAAGACAGCCCATTCCTGGGGGAAATCCCAGCAGGGGAATGGAAGCCATGGCACCAGGAGAAGGTGATCAGAAGCAAGGGAGCTCAGAGCCTTCCTTTTGCTTTCCTCTTATGGAGGAGGGTAGAGGAAGAAAAGTAAAGAAAAGGAGAAGGGGGGGGCTTGCCCTTGGATGGTAGAAAAATTGTAAAGTAGAGTCATATGATTCCGATACCTGGTAGGTGCATCTTTATCCCTGTCCTTCCCTGATCTAGTGCCCATTTAACTGAGAAGTGGGGTATCTTAGGTGAACAGAGGAGGTCAGCATTGGTGATGTACCACGCCAAGAGTGTTTCTCTTCATCCTAATTCTGCAGAGGGTCCCAGGAGACTGATTTGGGCTGAGGCATCAACCATGGTGATTTTACATTGCATGACCAGGGCAGTCTGTTGTATGTTAAGAATTTCATTTTGCAAATCTGCTCCTGTAGGCAGGGCCATCCTCTAGGTTTATTCTTACAGGAAGCAAGACCAGGCCACTGTTCTTTCACCAGCTGCATACACCCCCCCACATCTGAGACTCCTCCTTCCCCATACCCAACCTCTCCTTCTGTATCAAGGCTTCATCATTAGGAATGTGCGTCACATCTGTACAGAAGCTTATGCAACATCGCTCATAAATTAAAGGGCCTATGCATTTCAGGGATCCTTATCGAGATAAAATATTAATATATGGTCATTAAGTATTTTGTATTTGTATTTGTATTGTAATCAAGTGTAGTGAAGCAAAAGGCATGAAGACAAATAAAATGACTGTAAAGGCAGGCGTGTGTTGGGCTGTGTATTATCTCTGCAGTAAGTCACCGAACTAATGAGCCTTGTACTTTGGAAAATGAATTGATAACTGCAGCCGGGAGGTAAATTGCAAACACTGGTTGGGCATCTACCTAACAATGAGTGCAGCAAGGTTCTTAGGCTAGAAATAATAAGCATTGTTGTTGTTCTAACTAACAAGACCCATCCCCCCCCCAAACATCAAGGAAAATTCTGGCTGAACTAAAATTACAGTAAATCTGGTTACCTGATAAGAGGTTAAATCTTCTGTATTGGTAAACTACTAACCCAGGATGGGAAATTACAGCTGATCTAATACATACCCTTTTAGGCATTGGATTTTGCAGAATTTGTCCCATGATTGTTTTCTTCCACATAAATATCCCATTACATTCAAGTAGGTTACTGGGAAGAAGAGGCAAATAAAAGTTACCTTTTAGAACATTCCCTACATTTTATACTTTGGGACTATATAGAGACATTTTCTTTCTGATGTGCAGCATTTGAACATTGCAAACATTCTTATACTGCTCAATGCTGTTTATGCAGGCATTTTGGGTGTGAAAGACCAGTCTGCAGTGATGTATGTGCAGCAGCAGTGAAAAAAATGATGAGGAGGTAGATTGTACAATTAGCCTGACATCGTACAGTAATGTGAAAGCCAATTTCTTTTATAATTTTTCTGAATCTTGTTCCCCTTCCCCAAAATGCCACCCCTGACTTTTGGGGCTTTAAAATCCTAAATCTCGCAGCTTTTAATGATTACAGTCAATACTCTCTCTAAGCTGTGGAGTCGTGTGAGTAAAAAGTCTACTTTTATTTATTTATTTATTTTATTGCATTTATATCCCGCCCTCCCTGCAAATGGGCTCAGGGCAGCTCACACAGAGCACAAAGTGCATACAGTACATAAAAGTTAAAACAGTCAAAAATCGGTTCCAACGGATGCACATATAAAACTCCCAACATCTTGCATAGCAGAGGGGAAGGCTAGGGTCATGGAAAGATGTTACCCAGCCCTCCGGCGGTATCTCTCCATGAAGGAGCGGTGGTGGAAGTGGCTGTGGCGGCTCCTACTCGTAAGCCTGGCAGAAGAGCTCCATCTTACAGGCCCTGCGGAACTGCACAAGGTCCCGCAGGACCCTCATCTCCTCCAGGAGCTCATTCCATCAGATAGGAGCCACCACTGAAAAGGACCTGGCCCTTGTTGCTGCAAGCTTGGCCTCTTTAGGGCCCGGGGTCAC